AAACTGGCTCGTATACACGTTACACATGGGGAAAACCACGAAAACACCCATGCAGCCAGCCCGTTCGCGGGATTCGAACTACCAGTATTCAGCGACTTTCTCGGACCGAACTACCAGTATTCAGCGACTTTACCGCTCGGCCGCTGGTGGGCCAAAGAAGAAGAAAGAGACAGTGGAATAGGTTGCCGTAAACTGAAAAGTTCGCCAAGTGAGCTATTCTTTGCACAAAGTTCCCCCCCCCCCGGGAAAAAAAAAAAAAAAAAAAGGCTCCGAACTAAATTTTCAATCCCAAAAATTTGGAATTTACGCATAATTAGGGTCTTGGAATCAAAATATGAAAAGTATGCAGTATGATATTTCAGAAGTCGGCTTTTGTCTGCAAATAGGCATGTTAGAAAAATACATGTATAAAACTATTATATAACTTTCGTCACACTTTCGAGATATGAAAAGCGAGAGCTGAATTTTGGCAATCAGTCGAGTAAAACGAGAAATATAGAACTGTCTACCTGTCTTTAGTCTAAAGGGTCAATTTGCCCGGAAGGCCTATTAATTTCATTTTGGCATTTTGACTTGAAATGTCGATGCACTTTTCAAATTGTTGCCACCAAATAATAGTATTATATTCAAAGAAATCTAAAAATGAAGAATCTGCGTAAATGTATGTATGTTTTTGGCTAATAAAAACAACGGTACCTAGAGCCATCAAATTTTGTATAATGTAATCCTTCTGCAAATACGGGCATCTGGAAGCCCAAATTTGGAATTTGTTTTATTATCTGTTTCATATTTTGTAAAACGTTAAAGAAATTTTTGATTAACAAATTCAACTATTTCAAAGCGAAAACATTTTATCACCAGCGCGCAGATAGAGATAATAGATACTTAGATAGAGAGAATAATCTCGATAATGTATATTTAGTAATTTGTATGCAAACATGTATGTTTAGTACAATAATTTGTATGCAAACATGTATGTACATTACTGAGTTTGGAACTTTTCAAACGTTGATATATTTTTTTCAGGAGAAAATCAAAAGTGAAAAAGACAAAAATAAAAATTTTAAATATGAAAATTTCAGATAACGGCCGAAGATATAACGTTTAATTTTTTTTAATGTTTAAAAATTAAACTTATAGAAATGATAAAATTAAGCAAAAATTGTAATTAGATTTTAGTATGCAGATACTAGTTTAATATCTGGAATGTTTTATAAGCCACGCAGCTACGATAGACTATTATTTTAAGAATTAATCTGTAGAAATGCATGATGTACAGTATTAAATCTTATATTTAAAATAAGCTATTCAAAATTGCAAAGCCAAAGTAGAAAATGCTGCTATTAGATTGATTCATCGCAACTTAACATGGTAATCTTCGCGCTTAATTAATGAAGAAAAGACTTATTTATTAAATCCATAGCTGGGCATCTATTTCACCCGAGAGCTTGCGCGCAAAACGTGTAATAAATATTTTCAAAGGATGCCAGTTTTCTATTTTGTAAGATACAAATAAGCAAATTTAAATAATAAAGACAAAAAAATTCATTGCATTTTTAAAATAAAATTATGATCGTCGGAAAGAAAAACCAATGCAGGTATTTTAAAAACCAGCAAAAAGTTAGAAACGGAAGAATTATTTTAAAAAAATCTCATGATCAGGATTTGTAGAATACTAAAAGCAGATATCATTTGTGACATTCAGGATACAGCTACTGAGACAACTATCCTTTTTTAAAATTTTCATAAAACATTTAGACACTCATATATCAAAGATTAAAAGACCTGTTAAATGTGTTCTAACTTTAGAGAGAAATAAAATGTAACAGACTTTGCGTTTGTAAGAAAGCGTTTTAGTTATATGAATAGAGCCATTTTCATGTCACTATGCTTTTCTATTTCTTCTTTTAATCGATTGTATAATACAAGAATATACAGAAACACAAAATAGCCTTAAGGGCTTAAAAAAAGGAGGACAGCCTAAAAATCACGGAAAATGTTACAGTGATTATATATAGCAATATACTTTACAGAAAAAGGCAACAAATTATAAAAGTTTTGCCACATCTTTTAATATAAGTGTAATTCCTTTTTTCCGGAAACATCAAACTCATTCTTTTTGTCGCCTTAGGAAACTAGTCATAGTTGTTTTGTGAAACTCGCATACGTATGCAATGAAAGGGGGAGGGGACCTGCATATACGATAATAAAAAGATTTAAATCTGTGCAGGAAATAGGTTTTCTGAGTCATTCCCCCCCTCCAGAAATATTTCGAATAACGGTTTCTTAGCTTGCGTTTTGTTCGTTTTTTCTTTTCCTATTCAACGGGAAAAATTCCAGGAATTATACGCTTCTTCCGAAAGAGGAGAATTCCGGTATAAATTAAGCTCTTGAATGCGTAATGGACTCCCGAAAGAAGACTGTTCTTCGTCATTCCATCAGCGAAAATTGAAATTTGTTTAAACTCTCACAGATGCAAATTCACATTAATGTGCTAACATCGTACGAGTATAGAATTCTAAACCCAACGCAATAGTTTACTAGATTTTCCAGATGAGGGGAAATGCTTTTGTCTTCAAAGCTTTAAGAAGATATGAAAAAAAAAAAAATTATAAAATGATTTTCAGACCTTTTTTTTTCTCTCTTCTAAATTCATTGCGTTTCGCAGACAATTTTTTTAACTTAATGCTAAATTTGATTGCAAGGGATAGTAGTTAGAATATTGCAATTTTCATGGCTGGGAGTAAAATGCTTAACTCAATTTTAAGGTTTATAGAAATGTTGATTTACATATTTGAAAGAGAAAATTATACTGGTGCTGTTCGTCTAAACGCAAATTAGGAAATAATATTATTGAAGCCTTTTGTAGTGAAGATTGAAAGCAAATAATTTTTACTACCGTCGGGCGATGTTCGCATAGTTGGATGTATACTGAAATATTCAAATTAGTGCTAGAGGAACAATAATCCTTAAATTATGCCTTGTAAATATATATTTTAAAAATAGGCAATGGTTATTTTTAACGCAGCTTTCTTAACAAAAATAAAAATGTAAATATGATTTTAATATTAGACAAGCACTATTGTACTTGAATTAACATGACTCATTATCGTAAAAATGTACACTATAAAATAAAACTGTTTTTTAATTAATATAACGAATTATGTATACATGTAACTAATTTTACTGAAATTATACGTAAATTTGTAATATTCCATGTATAATGTAACTTGAAAGGTCTCAAGGAAGGAACGTTTTGCCAGAAAAATAAGATTACAGGGACAAGTTCTTTAACCCTTTCTCCGTTCTCTCCTGTCCGCGAAAATTCCTCCCCACCCCAGCGGCCGTCTGTTTTTCGTAGCGTGTAATGCTGTTTTCTCTGTACATCATAACTTTCCATACATTACTTTCGTAGTGGATGAATGTCAATGAATATTAAGTAAAATGATAAGGAAATAAAGGATAATGGGGAAAATAATAATATCTCTGCTTTTTTCTAACAGCAGGATAATTTGATAAACATCTGATCCAGGCGGTCCACTCCTTCCATTTTTTTGTTGTAATTTTTTACAATTATTTTTTTACAGTTCTTTTCCGTGTTCCAACATCCATCATCGAGTTATTATGCACTGTACTCATCAAACGTATATCCTTCTTGTCTTTCCAATTCACAACCTCCTTTTTTCTCTCTTTCTGCTGAGTAGACGTTGAAGCCATCTCTCACTGTCTTGCATCTTATGTAAAACGGCGCGAATATTCATAAAACCCGGGGCAAGTTCAATTAGAAATAGAATGTCTGATTAGTATTGCCCTCTAGGAGGTATTAGAAAAAAACAAAAATAAAAACTCAAACAAGTAAACATTTAGAAAGCATTTTAAACGTTTAAAAGTTTTAAAATGTAAAATAACGCTTGAGGCGCGTTACGGCCGCCCTGCGGAACTTTCACTTGAACGCGCTAGACGCGTTACGGACGACGAAGAGTTTAAACATTGAGGTAAATGGCTGTAACGTCGGTAATTTTGGTGAATAGTTTTTGTCACCAAGTTTGGCGAGAAGTTGCCAAATGTCCCCAGTGTCCGACCCCTGTGTAACTATAACTGATCCTATCACTATGTAGCTATAGCCATATCCGGTCCTATGCCACTGCAACTGTGAATGCCTTCCAGCAATTTCGAGAAACTGAAGGTACTGGAAATTTCTCGGCGGCTGGGAGAAAACTATATAAGACAGAAGAGAGCATCAGTTCTCAGTGCGCTCATCGAAAATTTATTGCTTTCTTCAATGAAACATATTATGTAATTTTCATGGTTATACTCCGAAAGGATCAACTTGAATCTCGGTAACAGAAAGTCATATTAATACAGCCAGTATCACAGTTCTGGCTATGGTTCAGACTTGAGCTCGGAGTTTAGCTCAGAATATTGAGAGACCACTGTGCGAGCTTACGCATTGAGGTTTTTTTATATTATTTTGTGTTTAACTTTCTTACTAGTTTGAAATGGTAACTATTGATTGTGGTCTGTCACACTGACAAGAGCTCTACGAGTACTTTTGAGTCAAGTTTCAGAACTGCAAAACCTTCTTTTTTTTTTTTTTTTTTTTTTTTTTTTTTTGTTCTCAGTATAACGATATTTGAATTGTAAAAATAGCTCAAGCAGGACGGGAAATGCAGCCAAATCCCTTCTCGGCTGGTTTTAGAGGCAAATTTTGTCCCTACGTTGGCGATATTTGGAAATTTCTCACAAATTTGATTGTATTTTGTAAAATTTCGAAAAACGCAATTTTTGACGTCTTACGACTAAAGGTTTCAGAAGCTCTTGTTATACCGGTCCAAGATTTAGAAGCAATGTACAGATGTTTTTAATCAGTTGTGATGAGTTTTTAATCAGTTGTGATATTTAGCTCTTAGCTGAATTGCGAGTTTGTTCTGCAAGTGATTTTGAGAACTGACTATATTTCTCGTGCACTAAGGAGGAATGCCGCATTCTCTTTCGCTTTACCGGGATCAGCGCGAATGCAGTCCTGACTACCAAAAATTGCGGGCCCCAACCAACCGAAATTTGCGAAAATGGCAGCCGTTAACCGCCCGTAGTGCTGAACTCAGACCGGGGGAGCCCCCTCCTTGATCAGAGCATCCCCGACGCCATTAAAGTATGCTATTTATGGTTCTGTGTGTTGTGAACTTTTATAATTAATTAAGAATGTCTTCCTGTTTGTACGTGTTGTTTATTTACAGACATATCAAAGAACTCGCAGTTTCCAACGATGTTTATCATTATTTAAGCTAGTAAACAAACATATCAAAGTTCGCGTAAAGAAGAGAGACAACTGTTAATGAGACAACTGTTGGAATAGCAGATTCATTCCGCTCTTTTTACTTTTCTTTTCCTAATTTCTTTTATTCTATTTTTTCTTATCTTAACTCTTCTTCATCCAGAATTGTACTCACAATCGTAAATTACAATCTACCGTCAAATAGGAATTGGATAACATTTTATGTAAAAGTCCGATGCCTATCATATAGAGTCCGATGTATGTAGTCCGACAGAGTCCGCTGCGTATCATATATAGTCCGATGTAGTCCGATGTATGTATATAGAGATATGTAAAAGTCCGATGGGTATCACATCATATAGCCCGATGTGTAAACATAAATAATATGGTGATCCTTCGCAGATCGGTTATAAGCATCTTTACATTGCTTCTTTGTATTTATTGTAATCAGTTCATAACTAGTTCAGCTAGTAATTAAAAATGTAAAAATTAATTTAGAAGTAAATTCATAAGGTATTTCTCCCACCTTCTTGGCATGCCTTCGTGGTGTAGTGGTCTGCACACTGGGCCGGTATTATAGAGATCCGTGGTTCAATTCCCGGCGAAGGCGTTGCATATTTTTCAATCTCTCCTGCTTCCAAAAATACCTAATGTCTCTATAGTGGCTCACGAACTAAAATGGATGAGGTTTCTCCACACCCAGGATTTGGCGATTGGGTCCCCTAAAAGTCCCAGTCGTCCTTTAAAAAAGGGAGTATATATATATATATATATAAGGTATTTCTCTCGACTTCCTAGCATGCATTCGTAGTGTAGTGGTTTTGCACGCTGGGCCGGTATTCCAGAGGTCCGTGGTTCCATTCCCGGCGAAGGTGATTGCGCATTTTTCATCATGCCTGCTTCCATATTACCTAATGTCTCTACAGTGGCGCCCAAACTAAAAGGGTGGTGGATAAGAATTTCTCCTCACCAAGGATTTGGTGATTGGGTCCGCTAAATATCCCAGTCGACTTTTAAAAGGGGGAGTTTATAAGGTATTTCTCCCACCTTCTTGGCGTGCCTTCGTGGTGTGGTTGTCTGCACACTGGGCTAGTATTCCAGAGGTCCGTGTTTCGATTCCTGGCGAAGGCGGTTGCTAATTTTTCATCTTGTTTGCTTCCAAAAAATCCGAATGTCTCTCTACAAATTGAGGAATAAAAAAGAAGAAAGACCGATATCTATTTAAACTGATTACAAAGAATATTTCATTTCATTACTTTTACTAATCTATCGTATCTTCCTATACATACCCACACAGATATATACTGGTCACATATATCTGTGTGGTCATATATATGTCATATAGATATATTATGTATATTTTAATCTCCCCAATCGAAATCATCAATCCGTTAAGAAAGCTACAGTCGACATGGATGCCTTTCGAGAGGGAATCCGTTGATCATAAAAGTCATTCACAGAAAACGGACAAAACTCTCCAGAGCAACTGATGAAAAAACGGTTGAAAAGAGGAAAAATAACAGAAAGGATAGCAAAAAATAGATTAAAAAAAAAGATCTAGCAAAAAGAAATGTGAGATGTTGGAAGAGCCTTTAGCGTGGGCAGGGTTAGGGGGCTTCTTTATTTTTAGCATTCTCCTTTTGGTGCTTTTTCAAATCTCGGTTAATACGGCTTTTGGCGCTTGATTTCTTCCAGACACCAGATGGTTGTGTTATGGCTCAGACGAAGGGATTTGGCGAGGTAAAAGGCGTTAGCATTCCACCACATTTATCATCATAAAAAAAAGGAAGTGGAAAGAAATTAATAAACGGTTCGGTTATTTCGCAGAACTGCTTTCGCCATTTCTCGGATAGATTACCTGTGAGCAAGGGGAATTTACTGAAACAAAAACACAACGCTTTCAAGTTTATTCTTTTAGATAGATTGGGATTTTTTTTTTTTTTTTTTTTTTTTTTTTTTTTTTTTTTTTTTTTTTTTTTTTTTTTTTTTTTTTTTTTTTTTTTTTTTTTTTTTTTTTTTTTTTTTTTTTTTTTTTTTTTTTTTTTTGTTTTTTTTTTTTTTTTTTTTTTTTTTTTTTTTTTTTTTTTGTTTTTTTTTTTTTTTTTTTTTTTTTTTTTTTTTTTTTTTTTTTTTTTTTTTTTTTTGTTTTTTTTTTTTTTTTTTTTTTTTTTTTTTTTTTTTTTTTTTTTTTTTTTTTAGTTCGAAACAGATGGTTGTAATGTATCCTTTTTAGTAAAGGTGTATGGCGTGTTAGTTTTTGGCATTTCTTTAATCAAAAACCATTTTATTTTTTTTTTTGTTTTTTTTTTTTTTTTTTTTTTTTTTTTGAATTGGAGTTCAGACCCGCCCCCCCCACACCACCCTCCGCCCCCCCCCCCCCCCCCCCAACCCCCCCCCCCCCCCCAGCCCCTTAGTCCCCCCCCATTGCCTAAGAAAATCCGGCCAAATTTCCAAAATCTTATTTGTCGGTAATTTTGGCCAGGGGAATTTACTGGCACGCTTCATTATGATTTGGGGGGTGAACACGTGAAACGAGAAATGGGAATTTTCTTTATTCTTTTAGATAGATCTAAACTAATAAGAATCCAACAATTCATCAAAATGTAAACATTGTTACATTTCCCTAAAACCAATTTTAGTTATTGCTTGCAGATCTTAGTATGCTTAAGATATCCAGCCGTCTCTAAAACTGAACGTTTTATTTTCGGTGGTATAATTCATAAAATTCAGAGGAATGAGCTGAGGTTCCTAATGTTTTTTATACATATCGAATGCATGTTATATATTAGATGCAACATGATAGTTTTTCTATTTACTTTTCTTACGTAGAAGGCAACTCAAGAATTATCAAAAGTTTATAATAATACGGTCGAAATCACCTATTTTCTGTAATTATTTGTATTATTTACGTTCTTAATTTTTACTGAACTGACATTTGCTACATTTAATGACTCAGAAGATATATACCTACTTTGGTGGATTATTCCATAATTTTAAGGGAAGCAGAATTATACAGCCATATTTCAATGTCCTTTTGTATTAAACGTATTTTTTAAAACAGATCAAATTTAAACTTATGCTGATTGGAGTTCCAGAGAAGCAGTTTGAAAAAAATTTTAAAACAAACTCCTTCAGTCGGCGAAATAAATTTCAGACTTTTCATATTTGTAAACTTTTATCAAATTCATTTAATGGTTTTAATTTCAAGTAAGTATTTAAAAGTCTTATCTTGTAACTTTCATTTACTATTTCACTGAAAAATGGTGTTACAAATCGTTCCTTTTAACTACGTCAGTATTTTTATTACGTTTATTAGTAAAAAATGGCAAAGAATTTGTTTAACTCCTTGAAGAGTAGTAATTTGAGTTCAAAATTCTCAAAATTGACAAAACTTATCAGTAAAGCCGAACTTTAAATTCGACTAAAATTTAAAGTTTAAATCAACGTGCTGCTTTCATAACCACGATTAAAATTTTTTCTGCGGTGGTAATGATAGTATAAACTTTTCTTACCTTCGAAACCCCATTTCAGTGCCTTGTACAGTATTTCACTTTATTTTGTCAAATAGTGATAAAAGATGCTGATATTTTATTTGACTATTACTCTCGCAAGGAAAAACGTCGCAGAATAAGAGATGCAAGAATAGAATAAACTTCTGAAAGATAAAAGCGATAAATCTCTGTAAGAGATATGGAAGACAGACACATCAATTCCTTCTGCGAAATGAAACTGATGGGTACTCAATCCAATATTACATGCTGTTCGACATATTGCATTACCTGAAATATAAAGCCTACTTTCAGCACTTTATGTTTTGCAATTCAATCGCATATTCTTCTTCCTTCCTTTCAAGCGAAAATGATGCAAGACACAGAAACTTTCTCATGTTTGTTAAAATTCTATCAAATAGCCAATGAGCTTAGCAAAGATCCACACCATATGGGAAGTTCTTGAATTACCATCCGCTGCTTATTCCATCTTGAAAAGCCATTACATATTGCATCTCAAAATGAAATAATTTTTTACTGCTTGCAGCATAATTATCTTCTCATGAAATGAATATATTAGAATACAGCCTTTTAAAATTTTTGAACTCCGTTGTAACTTTAAACTGCTTTTGTTATGCCAATATTTTTTGTTTCTTCTGTCTTTTATTGTTGTGTATATGTGTGTGCATTTTATTATGTCAAACGTAGAGCAATCGCAAAAGCACTAAATTAATTTCAATTTAACATTCATGACTAAAATGTTTTTGTGTAATACGATATTGCCAATTTTGGAATCATACCATGTATATTTCGAATGTACAGTCATTCAAAGTATTTGCATAGTTATTCAGTGGGAGAAACATATTCTACATTACATTAAAATAATTATTATAAAAATAATATTAACTATTTTTCAGTATTTTTGTGCTAATGAAAATTTTAAAAAAGTGTGTTAACTTATTTCATACTGAACAATAAACCATAGCATCGATGAACACCTAAACCAATAAATAATTTTAATGACTGTATATTCAAAATTTACAGTTTATAGTCAAGTAATGATTATAGATATATTTCATTTTACTTTTATTGCTTGATATTACTCGGATACAGGGAGTTTCCATTTTATCATTGCATCATGCTTTAAAGAAATGATTCTCAACTTTCTACGCTTCAAGAACTTTGACTTGTAATTGATGAATTAATTAGCAAATAAATTTCTTATTATAATATATCATATGAAATAAAATATATTACAAACTACAATAATAAAATAAACAATAAAAAAATCTGAAAGGTTTCAGATTTTAAATTACGTCCAAAGGGACGCTTTTTCAACGTTTTGTCTGTTACCTTTATTTATTAAATACCATGTTCTTCGCACTTAAACCAT